TCTCTCTCTCTCTCTCTCTCTCTCTCTCTCTGTCTGTCTATCTGCTTTTTGCTTTTTTTTTTCGTTGTAGTACTGTCGTCAATGAAAACTTGAAAAGTTTTCGCTCTTCTTCGCGAGATCGCTGAAAGCGCAGACGATGTTGATTTCCCAACGGGGTGTCGCCCGTCTATAAATCTACACCCAGGGTTTGTTTAGTCGGTGTATGTCGCGAGCGATGCCGTTGTGTATTTTTGAGTGACGCGAGAGAATATCCCGCCAAGCGGAAGTTTTGCGTCGTTGAGCTTAAACGCGGGCTACGCTTACGATCGAGAAATGGGAAACAACGGTCGTTTATTCGGTTCACGGGTCGTTTCTCGCGACGCGACCACCATTTTTACGACGCGCGGAACACCTCGGCAATTATGCAACGCACCGCGACATTTATTTCAGGATCGTGTTGCGGACTTTAAAATTACGTCGGCGTGTGGTTTTTCACCTAGGCATTGTCCGTTTTTTTTTCTCAAACGAACAGCCGTATGTAAACAGAAAAGATAAAAATTATTCTATTTAGTTATAATATTTCTATGTAACAAATAATCTATGGAATATAATAAATATTCTATGCAATAATAAATTAATTAATATTTTGCAGTTGTATAACATATGTAAAAAATTAATATATAGAAATTGTGTAATATTTATATAAGCGATATGAATGGAAAATTTCAATGGAAATTTAAAATTTTCAAAAAAGTAATATATACAATCAGATTTTAATTTTTTCAATAATTTTAGCTTAATTTTCCTCATCTAAAAATTGAAGATATATTGTATTTTAAAATCATTATGTAAGTTTTAGAATAAGATAAATTAAATTACAAGAATAAATTATTATTGATAGAGAATTTACATAAAATAAGAATTACCAAAATAAATTCTTAAGGAGAAATATTCATTGATCAAGAAAAGAGACGCTTATTTTGTGGCAAAAATTTTCAGGAAAATCGACAACGAACTCGAAGCAGAAGGCGACGATTCGTGAAAATATACGAGAACTTTTGGGAGCGTAAATTCCACAGGAAATTGTGGGGAACACTGTGGTCTCGGTGCTTAAACAAATATCCTTAGGGATCCTTTTGGCTAACGAGCGCGGTTTCGTCGCAACAAACGCAAAAGTGTTAACTTGTTAAACTTGATATAAAAACGAGATAAATTTGTGATTTGTTATAATCTATTTTCGATATAAAATTATGTGAAATGAGACTTTGTCGACTATGAGCTTATCCTGTTTTCATGTAGAATCCTTTGCTTTGTCCAGCTCCAAAAAGCTGGAAGACCGATTTGCTGGTTTGCGGGAAGATTCTCATCGCTTTAGGTTATTCTTATCCTTTTCTACGCACCCGTCCATTTTAGTCTTTTTATGTCGCTTTGCCACGTTTTCTCGCAATTTCTCGGTGTAAATTCTTCCCTCTTTTTCAGGTAGGATTATTTCCTGTCTCCTTTCCTCTTAATCTTTCATTTCACTTCTCTCTCGGCTCTCGCTCGTCTTTCTTTTTTCTTATTTAACCTCAACGAGATAAACTGGAACTCCGGGATGGTCGCTGTGCGAAATATCATTGGCCTCGCGTAAGTATGATATTATGAAGGCAAGAATAAAGAATAAAAAGAAAATGGCCAGAAAATTTTCCGGTACCATCGGGAAGCGTATTATGAAGATTTCCAATTCTATCTTTACGACGAATCTTTTTTGTGGTGGTAACCACGTATTGTCGAATACATGATACGCCGAGCAGAAAAATATTTTTTAACAACGCTACTCGGGGAAAATCAAATTTCTAAATGAAGCTGTAATTAAGATACGCTTTCTATGAAAGTGTAGGATCATAAATATATTATCAAGGAACAACAAACAAAATGTACATAATAAGAAACCATGAGCGACGAACTGGAGATACACGTTCGTGTAAATGCAAATATTACGGGCTTGAAATATCAGGCGCGAGCTGTAAAGTAACGGTTAAATAGGCTTTATTGATTTTAGCCGTTCATCGGTAAATTCCGGCCCCGTATAGTGATAACAGTAAATTCAATCCAACTCTATTTGCCGGCCGACTGTTTCATTAGATAACGATTACCGTCGGCAAACGCGCGTTTGTAGGTAAAGCAAACGATACCCGAGCGTTATATCCGGAGCCTCCCGGTTTATGTACGCGCAATTATTATGCAGGCCGCGCACACGGTATGTGCGGCCCATTACGCATCGCATGCGTATCACACAATTAATTTATGTAGATACGCGCGCGTCGTAATCGCACACGCATACCGCTGCACCGCCGCTTGCAGAATATCGCATTGCATGACGCTCCTTTCTCCTCCCTTCTTTCACCTCTCCTCCTCCCCCCCCTCGTCTTTCTCTATGAAACCTCATCTATAATTTAATTAATTAATGTGTATCTTCGTGCATTGTGAACGCAATGCAGTTGCCAAACTTTTGCCAAGTTTGCGGAGTTCCGGAGTTGCTCGTGTTATGTTTGCTCAAGCATGACACTATAAACATGATAAAATTGAAAGTTCATAAAAAAGTGATAGCAGAAGTATAGATTAAATAATAGGTATAAATAACAGAAAGAAGAAGATGACATCAATGTCACTTTTCTTCATTTTCTATTTTACTTTCATTTGACTATTCAAACAATTTATTTTAATGCGAGTAATAAGTGAATATGTTGATTACTGGATATATTGCATTTTTTTGTATATATTAAAAGTATATATTAAAGTTGGATACATTTTTTAAAATTAAGACTTTACAAAGAATATTTATATGAATGACTCTTTCGTTGGAATTTTTATGTAAAAATTTATCTTTTTGTTTGCACATCTTTACATTAATTACAGTTGTAGCAACAACGTCACAATTTTAACAAAGCACACTGGCGAACTCTGACATTAATCATATTGCGATTAATTGCAAACTTGACAAATGATGAATACGCATAC